GGTCCCAGAACACGATAGGAGATGACCCCACAGCCACAGAGAGGAGGGCCGGGCGGGGGGCCGGAGCCCGCCTGGAGGACCCGGCAGCTCCGGTGGTGTCAGAGCTGCTCAGGGAGGACGGTGGGCCGCTCGGTGCCCCCGGAGCCTCGTGCATCCAGATTCTGGCAACACAGCTCGACAGGTAGACACAGGTGATGCGTGGGATGGCCGGATGCAGTGGGGGACCGAGACGGCAGCCAGGCAGAGGGGCTGTCACTAAAGCTCTGTCCCAGCTCTGATCACAGCGGCCGTAGCAGGAAGCCCCACTCCTAAGGCACTGGTTGGTATCAAAACCCCCTTAAAAAAATTCTTAAATCAGCCGGGACACACGATTGCTGCCACCGCACAGCAAGGTCTCTTTCCCAACCTCTTTACCCCTCAATTAAAAAACCGCACAATTTTTAAAAGTGTTCTCTATGGCCCTGCATGCCTCCGCCAAGACTGTTCTGAAGGGGGTCGGGGGAGAGCACGGAGCCCACTCCCACCCTGCTCGGACCCCTGGGTCCACGGCTGGAGACGCCTCTGGGAAGGAGAATCGCAAGGCCGGCAGCTCCCAGGTGGGGCGGGGCCCGGGAACCAGGTGATGGGCACCGCTGGGCAACGGTGGGTCTCCCGGGAGCACCCTGGACCCTCAACGCCTAGAGACAGCTGCAGCCAGGTCGCGGGGGCGGAGTCGGCTGCGTTCCCTCCACGGCTACCGGCCGCAACTGCCGGCCACGCCGAGAGCCCACGGCTTCCGGCACCCACAGACAATAGCGATGCAATGACGCTGGAGAGGCTCGAGGCTGGGTCCCGTCCCCATCGTTCACTCGGGGGGCCCAGCTCAGGACACATGGTGGTGAGAGGAGACAGACCAGAAAGCAGCTCGCGCCAAGGACGCCGCGCTCGACACCTCGCACTGAGACAATGAGCCACGGACCGCACGATAGCAGTCTGCACATGGACCACGATGCCACGACCCAAGAGACGCGGAAGGGGCGGGTGCATGCACTCAGGCATTTACCTTTCCAAGGTCAGTAGGGAGAAAACTTTGAGAAAATGTGACAGACAGTTCGTCTTTCAAGCATAGTGGGGAAGAGGAAGAAACAGGTTGCAAAAGAAAAAAAAAATCTTTACTAGGATTTTCTTTCTCGTGTGCATTGGAAATTTAAAAATCAAGGCTGCACCATGAATGCCAGTGGTCTCTCGACCTCAAGCAGCCGGCACAGCCCCGGGAAGACGCCGCAGAGGGCGGAGTCCGGGCTGACATCCCTATTCTACCAGGAAACCGAGATCGCCGGCACCACACCCCAGGGCGTCCCCCTCCCAAGTCTGAGAGCTCCAGCAACCCCGTGGCCACAGGCAGACCTGACCCCAGGGGGCCCCGGAGTCCCTGCCCGGCCCAGGGCGCCGAGTCCCTCCCCGTGGTCACAGCAGCTGCCGTCCACCAGGCACTTACAGGGAGCGGCTGTTCTGCCAAGCGATACGTCATATTCTCATTCATCAAAACACCTCATCAAGTTATCATCCCCACTTTACAGGTGAGGAAGTTACGATCCTCGAATTGCTTAAACGTGCCCAGAGGTCCAGAGCCGGAGGCCAACCAAAGACCCGACATGCGACCCCAGCTCGGTCTGACCTCAGTCATAAATTTTGGTCACAGGGCTCGGGTCAGCTCCTGGAATCAGACGTAGCTACGATCCCAGCGTGGTCACGCTCCCCGGCTGGGCGGGACCCGGGGGTCCGGGCGTGCCGTGGTCGGCGGGACGCACTTTGGCGGAGCTGGAGCGGCTCTAGCCGCGGGCACTACTACAGGAGCCCTGGCGCCAGGCAAGCTCGCCCTTAGCAGGGCGGGGGCATGTCCCCGAATGGACCCTCCCGGTAGGGAGATTTCCTTCCTGGCAACATCAGGCCACGGGTCAGAAGGAACAGGACTCGCGTGGCGGCAAAACCCGCGGGCTCCAAACCCACGGGCTGGTGTCACACAGGAGAACCCTAACCCGGAAGCAGTCCAGGCTCCGGTTCACACTTCAGGGGATGA